GGACATTGGGTTGCTTCCACCATTTGGTTATTTATTAAATCCTGTGATACATTATGTTCCCATTGCCCTTGGCTTTTCACTATCACACAACTTTTAAGGTCATCAACCTTCATTCTTGCCCAATCACAGTCCCTCAACGACTCCACCCCTCATAGATGTATGATTCACATCCTTTCTGTCCCTTGGATTTGTCAGGTTTTTTTCCATTTCTTGCCCCGGTTCCTTGTTGTTCCTTTTTTCGGAACTTTTCTTTTTTTGCAAATTATTTTCCCTTTCCTTCTTTTTTTTTCATTTTGGTTTTCTTTTTTTCCCTTTTTTGTTTTTGGCTGAGATAATTAAGTTTTACTCCCTGCCCTCCTGCCTTGATTATAGCTAACAAATGAAAATGTATATATTTAACATTGTCAGTTCAAAAGCAGTAGGGTCAACCTGGCAATACTAAACTCTCCATTGCCCCATTATATCATACAAGTAACTTGATAAGCCTTGTTCTTGCTAGCAGGGAGCTTATGGTCTCTTTAATACAAAGCAGAAATGTTAAGAGAAAAAGAATAAACATATACTTTACATAGAAATGCATATGAAGTATTTTTTCAATATGATATATATATAAATATCAAGGAAAATAAATATGGTTTAAAGTTAATAATAATAATAAAAAAAGAATGTAGGCCTCCCCTGGTTGTCAAGAATCTGTCTGCCAATGCAGGGGACAGGGGTTCCACCCTTGGTCCAGGAAGATTCCACCTGCTAAGGGCAACTAAGTACATGTACCACAATGGCTGGGCCCCACGCTACCCCCACTGAAGCTCTAGAGTCTGTGCTCCACATCAAGAGAAGCTGCCCACCACAACTAGAGAGTAGCCCACTCAGCCACGAAGATCCAGCACAGCCAACAATAAGTCATAATAATAATCAAAAGGTAAAAATAAAAATTCTTGAAAAAAAGAATGTATATCTTTAAGGTATACATGTTAATTTGATACATGTACACATTGTAAGGGATTCACCGTGGCTCAGTGGTAAAGAATCTACCTGCCAATATAAGTGATGCAGTTTCTTTCCCTGTGTGGCAAAGACCCCCTGGAGAAGGAAATAACAAACCATTCAAATGTTCTTGCCTGGAGAATCCCAAAGACAGAGGAGCCTGGTGGGCTATAGTCCATGGAGTCCCAAAAGAGTCAGATATGACTTATCGACTAAACAACAACAACACCACATTGTGAAATGACCACCACAATCAAACTAATTCAGTTCAGTTCATTTCAGTCGTTCAGTCATGTCTAACTCTTTATGACCCCATGAACCACAGCACACCAGGCCTCCCTGTCCATCACCAACTCCCAGAGTCCACCCAAACCCATGTCCATTGAGTNAGTTCTTTGTATAACTACCTGTCTAGATCCTTTTTCTCTGAAAGCCAGTGGCTGTTGTTGTTCAGTTGTTCCATCATGTCCAACTCTTCGTGACCCCGTGTACTGCAGCACGCCAGGCTTCCCAGTCCTCCAATACACCCCAGAGTTTGCTCAAACTCATGTCCACTGAGTCAGTGATGCCATCCAACCATCTCATCCTCTGTTGCCCCCTTCTCCTCCTGCCCTCAATCTTTCCCAGCATCAGGGTCATTTCCAATGAGTCAGCTCTTTAGCGGTATCAGCGCATATTTCTATTCCCCCAAAGCATTGTCGGCATACAGAAAGTGTTCCGCCTGTCTGCCGAATGAATGAGGAAGCATTTCTCAGCATCTGGTCCTGCTTTCTTACCTGATTTGGGGTAAGTCAGCAGTAAGACATCCTCATCTTTAATAATAAAATTCTCCTGCTCCTGTCTCAGGTGTTCAGATGGGAATTCCCTGCTTGGGAAGGGTATCCCTTCAAACCACACACACTCTCCTGTCATGACAATGAGATCTTTGTACCTCTTGTGGGTGTTTCAGCCTTAGTATAGTCACTGTTGGACTGGGAGATCCGTTTTATAGTCAACATCAAACAATAATTAATCTTTCCTAGTTCACTGAGGAATGTGCCTACTGATGAAAAGAGAGGGTCACAAGACTGACAATATTTGGCAATCGTGAAGTCATTCAGAGAACATTCTGGAGTAACCTGAGTTTGATGTCATGGGAGGGAACCATGAGTTTAGTAACAAGATGGAGGGTGTAGACATGTGGTGAATTAAGAAAATATATTTTAGTTTATTATTATTTTTTAATGAATCACTTTGATAAGTTTTGTCTTTTAAAATATATGTATTTATTTTTTTGGCTGCCATGAGTCTTCACTGCCGTGTGCAGGCTTTCTCTAGCTGCAGCCAGCAGGGGTTACTCTCTTGTTGCGGAGCGCGGGCTCTAGGCTGCTGGGCCGAATATGTGGCCCAGGGGCTCAGTTGCCCCATGGCGTGTGGAAATGTGCTGTGTCCCTGTATTGGCAGGTAGAATCCTAACCACTGGACCATGAGGATAGCCTGAAAAAATATTTTAAATAAGCTTTATTATTATTTTGTACAACACTTTTAGAAGTATAGGAAAATGGTAAAGATAGTACAAAGAACTTTGATAGTCCATATTTTATGGACTTAGTTTTACCTAATATCCTTTCTCTGTTCCAAGATTCTGGCCCAGACACTACATCACACTGGGTCTTCACATCTCCTCAGGTCTCTCTCAGCTGTGACAATTTCTCAGACTTTCCTTGTCTTTGATGACCTTGAGAGTTTTGAGGATGGCTGGTCAGATATTTTGGAGAAGGTCCCCCTCTTGGGGTGTACTCCACGTTTTCCTGATAATTAGACTGGGTTTCTGGGTTTGGGAGACAATGATCATGGAGGTAAAATACTATTATAGTCCCAACGTTTCAAGGGCTTTCACTATCAACTTGACAACTCACAATTGACCTTGATCACTTGGCCGAGGTGATGTTTGTTAGATTTCCCCACAGTAAATTTACTCTCTCCCCTTCTTCTTCTTCTTCATTTTGTTTGTTTGTTTGTTTGTTTTTGGCCATGCCAGGAGGTGTGTGATATCTTAGTTCCCTGATTAGGGATCGAATCCCATGCACTTTGATTTGGAAGCTTGGCATCTTAACCACTGGACTGCCAGAGAAGTCTCTTGCTTGCTTCCTTCCTTCCTTTTTGAGGGGGCATATTTAAAACATGAAGTCTAGACCTGAGGGTATTAATGAGAACATATTGTGTAAACTCTAACTGAGGAAGCTGTACAAAATACTTGTCTGTTACCATTCAAAATATCAAATTATTGTTTTTTTCAATCTGTTATTTAAAAATAAAACCCTAAGAAAAGAAAAGCTGAGGATATGGCCCAGAGAAAGGAGAAGGGAGAATGTAAGCTAAATCCTAGATTGAATCCTAAGCCACAGAAAATGCCATCATTTCATTATTGAAGCAGCTGACACATTCTTACATGTTTTATTTTATTTATATAGAAGTTTTTTTTGTGTGGCTGTTCTGAATCTTTGTTGCTGTGCACGGGCTCTCTAGAGTTGTGTTGAGTGGGGCCTATCCTCTAGTTGCGGTGCGCAGGCTTCTCTTGTTGCGGAGCATGTGCTCTAGAGCTTGGGATGAGCAGTTGTGGTGCATGGGCTTAGTTGCCCGCAGCTGGTGGGCAACTAATCGAACCTGTGTCCCCTACATTGTCAGGCAGATTCTTAAGGACTAGAACATCAGGGAAGTTCTCAATCTATTTCCTTATGTCTCCTTGACATGGAAATCCTAGTTAACATAGCACAATGACCAATGGTTTGTTCTTTTCATATGCCTAGTGATCATACTCATTTATACTTCTGCCTGCTTGGAACAATTTCCTGCCTTCTCTTCTCTCCCAGCTCATCTTGCATGAAACTCATCAGCAATAATACTGCTCTATTTTTTTTTTTTAATAACAGATCTTGCTTGGTGGCTCAAATGGTAAAGAATCTGCCTGCAATTCTGGAGACCCAGGTTCAATCACTGGGTTGGGAAGATCCCCTGGAGGAGGGCATGGCAACCCAATCCAATATTCTTGCCAGGATTATTCCATGGACAGAGGAGCCTGGCGGGCTAGTTCAAGGGGGTCACAAAGAGTCAGACAGGAATGAGCAACTAACCAAGAGCAATGTATTTCTTCTATAGACTTCACTCTCCATGTTCTTCCACTCCTCTTTACATATAGCTGCATCTGCCTTATGCTTCATTTCCATGGTTTCCTCTGATGCCTTTGATTACCCCCTCTGAGCACTCAGCTGACTGTGTAACTGCCTGGCTCGATCCTTATCTCTGAACTTCAGTGGAATCAGTGCATATTTCTATTCCCCTAATGCATTGTCAGCATGCAGAAAGCATTCCATCTGTCTACTGAATGAATGAGGGCCATAGCCACAGCTTGTCAGTACCTGATCCTGCTTCCTTACCTGATTTGGGGAAAGTCAGCAGTAAGACATCTTCATCTTTAAGAAAACTCTCCTGCATGTCTCTCATGAGTTCAGATGAGTAATCCAGGCTTGGGAAGTGTGTCCCTTCAAACCACACAAACCTTCCTGTCATGACGATGAGCTCTTTGTACCTCTTGTGAGCCTTTTGGCCGTAGTCACTGTTGGACTGGGAGATGCGTTTTATAGTCAACATCGAACAATCATTAATCTCTCCAAGGTCATTGATGTGTGTGCCTGCCCATAAAAAGAGAGGATCACAAGATTGAGAATATTGGGCAACCGTAAATTCATTCAGAGAATATTCTGGGGTAACCTTAGCATGACTTTACAGGTGGGAACCAGGAGTTTAGTAACAAGATGTAAGGTATAGACATGAGGTGAATTAAAAATGTTTATCTTTCAGTTCAGTTGAGTTCAGATCAGTTGGTCAGTGTCTCCGACTCTTCGCGACCCCATGGACCACAGCTCGCCTGGCCGCCCTGTCCATCACCAACTCCCAGAGTTTACTCAAACTCATCTCAATTGAGTCGATGCTGCCATCCAGCCATCTCATCCTCTGTCATCGCCTTTTCCTCCTGCCTTCAATCTTTCCCAGCATCAGGGTCTTTTCCAATGAGTCAGTTCTTTGCATGAGGTGGCCAAAATATTGGAGTTTCAGCTTCAACATCAGTCCTTCCAATGAACACTCAGGACTGATCTCCTTTAGGATGGACTGGTTGGATCTCCTTGCAGTCCAAGGGACTCTCAAGAGTCTTCTCCAACACCACAGTTCAAAAGCATCAATTCTTC